TGAGAAAATTTAAAATTTTCTGGTTCAGGACTTTTCAGAGCCAACTCCAAGTAGCTTCATCAAAATATTTAATGTTGGTCCTACCCCACGAACCCTCAGTGATAAGAGATAAAATGGAAATATAACATGGTGATGGGAAACCAACTTAGATTATCTTATTTATTTGTACAATTATTTGTCATCTGTCTAACTTATTCACTGTTATATTTCCAACAGCTGCAATAGTGCTTACCGATGAATAAACATGCAGTATGCAAACAAGTGCTATTACAATATTTTATTAAAGGAGAGGGAGGTATATATTGATCCAGAATGGGAATTATTTAGTCCAAAATAAATGTCTTGAATGCATAGATGCTGTAATTGGATAAAGCTAAAATTCCACTACTCTATTGAGGCCAGGTATCAAGTGACACTTTTTAAACTGAAAATGCGATTAAGAGTTGAAAAGGGATTTAAACACTTTGGAATTTGGGTATGCCAAGCCCAAATCATTGAATTTTTTATATACAGATCCAGTAAAGCAGATAGAAAATAGGAGAATTGTGAATAAGAACCATGGCTCTAGTTACAACTATGTCACTGTAATATATTAGCCAACGAGGCATGATTTTCTTACTTATAAATGCAATAAGAATATTTGCCCTTTCTTCATTACAGATTGTTGTAAGAATCGAATACAATTAAAATACATATATCCTTATTCTTTCTTTCTTTATTTTTATTATTATTATTATTATTTTTTGTCTTTTTCGTGACCGGTAAGGGGATCACAACCCTTGGCTTGGTGTCGCCCGCACCGCTCTCAGCCAGTGAGTGCACAGCCATTCCTATATAGGATCCGAACCCGCGGCGGGAGCATCGCTGCGCTCCCAGCGCCGCACTCTCCCGAGTGTGCCACGGGGTCGGCCCAATCCTTATTCTTTAATAATCTATTACAAGTAACATTTCCTTACTACAGTCAACATTGAAAACAGTGAAAACCAGAATGTCACGGTGGCAGGTGTGGAGCTGGGCCACTTGGGTCTCCCTTAAAAGAACTTGCTAACTAGCAAATTAGTAAACTGCTTCTAGCTGCAGCACCTTCTAGATATGCCCCAGCATTTGAAGGTCAGGTTTCTCTCCAGGGCAGCCTCAGGCAACGACTTAGCATGGTGGGGCACTGAAACCTGGCCATGTCTGACCAACGTGAGACTCTCCGGTATGGGCAATCTTTTCTCTGGATCTCACCGTGGGCTGGCCAAGACTCCCAGAGCTGCGTCTCAGTCTCATGCTTTCTCTACTTCTCCTCTTTCCCTCTGTCTTCTCACAGGTGGCAGTCTGAAAGCTCTCTCTGTCTACCTCTGTTCCTTCTCACCTTTATCTTTTTCAGGCATAAACCTCCAATCAGTGTTTTCACTTTCAACTCGGTCTTTTTTCATTTCTTTTAAAATTTATTTATTTATTAATACTACTATTTTTTTTTACTTTCTAAGATGTTGTGGAGCAGTTGGGGGGGATGGGGAGAGGGGAAGGAGGAGGAAAATAGGGGGGAGGAGGAGGAACAAGGGGGTTGTGGTTGAGGCCCTTGGCACCACACTTATTCTAACAGGGGAGACCAGGGGGCTTCTGGCAGTGGCTCAGTCATTGCTAGGCTGGATGCAGATGTCAGGGGAGTGTAGCCGAAGTCCCTGGCACCCCACCACCCCAGCTAGGGAGCCTGGGGCACTGCCAGTGGTGGCTCAGTGGTCACGGTTGGGCTGGTTGTGGATGTTGGGGATGTGTGGCTGAGGCCCTTGGCTCCCCACTGCCCCAGCTTGGGAGCCTGGGATGCTGTTGTCAGTGGCTCAGTGGTCATGGCCCAGCTGGTTGCTGGCATGGCAGAGCCTGTTGGCCCCATACAGCCTCAGCTCTGTAGCCCAGGGTGCTTCCAGCTTTGGCCTGTTGGTCATCACTGGGCTGGGTGTGGTCATCAGAAGGGTATGGTTGAGGACCGTGGCTGGAAGCCCCTGGACTTCCGGTCCTTCTAGGTTTTATAGGTGTTCTTTGGTGGTGTTAGACCTTTACTGGTTAACATCAAACTTTGTCTCTGATCTGTGGATATTTTGTTTTTTCTTTCAGTTCTCTGTTGGATTATTTACTGTTTCCACCACTTAAACTCTGCACTGGAACTAATTTGTTGTCCTTTGCTTACTTCTAAAATGGGGGAACTTCCTGTGGGGACCAGCACTTCAGCCCTGTAGTTGAGTTAAATTGTTGCTTTGCTGCTGATTCCCTGGAGAAGGCTTTATTTGCAGCTCAGGTTTTAATTGTTGACCTTGTATGTACTTCCAGGTCTTGTGAGTTCCAGTACACCTAGATTATGTGGAAACTCTGGTCTGGGCCTGAGTCTTTTCAGCAAACTGCACCCCCTGCAGTTCTGGATTCCTGAACAGTCTCCACTGAGTGGGCCTGTGCTGATTGGAGGGCAGATCAGCTGTCCTTGCTGTGCCCCAGTGTTCCCCTGGTGGGACCATCTCCCCCACTGCCCACACTCCAAACACTTCCCATGGGACAGGCCATGCACCAGTCTCTTGCTATGACTCACTGGCCTTTGAGCGGCTCCTATTTTCAGTTGTCTGTGGCTCCTTGCTCCTATGTGGGTACACGGGAACACTGTCAGTGGTCTTGCTGGCCTGGGGGCCACCAAGGCCCACCTCTCTCCTGCTGCTTCCAAGCAACTTCATGCTGTGGCTTTTGGCAGCTCTTGATCCATGTGTCACCACCTCAAGTCTTGAAGTGTCCAGGACTCAAAATGATGGGAGCAATCCTTTCTTTCTGTCATCGTGGCTTCGCCTGCCTTCATGAACTCTGTAGGTCTCCAGCTTGGCTGTTGTTGCTTTTTAATAGTTGTTTATTGGTTGATTAGTGGGAGAGAGGGACTCTGGGGACCACCTATTCCACCATCTTGACTGGAAGTCTCAACTCAGTCTGGGAGTCTGAGTTTCAGAAAACCCAAATAACATGGCCCCTCAAATCTCAATCATCTGAAATAACCCTTGTCAGTATTTTGAATTTCATGTTTCTTTTCAGAGATTTTCATGTGTGTAAGCATTGTGAGATTTTAATTTCAAGATGCTTGCTTTTTCTTTCTTTTTCTTGTTAGAACTACATCATGCATTTATGAAGAAGATGTGATAAAGAACCTCTTTGCTAACCACCACCTGACATTTATCTACTTTAACAACAGCAATACTTGAGGAGATTCAGAAACATTTCCTGAGGACACAACATTGAAGATTACAGTGCTGGTGAATTAGTGAATTGGGCAATCTCCCAATAGCTTTTTAGCATGAGGGTCAGATTCTTGCTGCACATGAACCTACAGCCTCTCTGTAGAGTCTGTGTGTCCACACTGGCCTGGACTTGCTGAAGTTCAGTTAAGAGTGACCAGCAACTCTATTACCTTCAGCTCCAACTAGCCTGCTCCTTAGTAGTCAAGCTCTAACTTAAACACTCTTGTTTCTTGGTTCCTATGTAATCCTGTGCAGGCGTACTTTAAGGTAGACTCGGTTGAGTATCAAGAGTTCCAACTTAACAAGGAGACTCTTTATCAACTGCTCCCAATCTAACTTAGAGGCATCACTTCACACTGACCTTGTGAAAAAAGAGCACCTGAACAGGTATTTAGTTGGCAGGTAGATGCTAAGAGCTCTTCCCAGAGAGCATATTGTTTGCTATTTTAGAGAATAGATAGTCCCAGGCATTGTTTATGTTATTTTCATTTGATTCTCTCTTGCCTTTTAATTCTATTTGGCTTCGTTTATACATTAAAGCTACAATTATATCAACCCCCATGAATTTCACACGTAGGCTTTGGTAACATTTGAAGTCATTGTCTACATTAATTTCAACAGTAGCTCTTTTTTTTCACCCTTAACTTACCCCACTACAAGAGTTTATTTATTTTAAGGCGGGTAAATCTGTATTTTCAAATTGTTTCTCTCTCTCTATGTTTTTAAATATAGCTTTTTAACTTGATTTTAAAATTCCACAGGCCAGGGAATGTACCTGGGAAGATGTGCCTGCAGGGGGCGAGGCAAAATAGACTACAATTGGGTTCCCTTATACTGAGTGAGATCAATAACTTCTTTGAGCCTCCACTTCCTCATCTATATTGTGAAATAGGAATAAAACTAAATCCTCTTAACTTTGAGAGGGGAGAATATCATGACATGTGCAATGCTACTGCAATTTGAGGACAGTTCTCTATCTTTGAATGGAAGTTCACAATTGGAATTGTTAAAAAAAACTACTTTCTCCCAGTTCTAAGCTTGCTTTAAGTCTGGAATAGGATATAATCTTCTGAGTTCCTTACTATGAATTTGCTAATTCCATGTGGCTTAAAGCTACGCTAAACAGAGAATGCTGGAGACTGGTTCTGTGGCCATTTCACATCCTAGCAAAAGTATTTCCAATTTCTGTCTCTAAGGTAATATTCACAAGGGCTCTTTCCTATTTTTCTTAATATTCACATTTCTTTCCTATAATTGAATTTCCAGGATTATAAATAAAACAGAGCTAATATTCACCAACGTATTTAGCATGAGGAATCATCCATATATTGCAAATGTGCAAATCCAAACAGTTCTGACATAAAGGCAGCACGGCATCTTGTAAAGGGCATAGACTTGGTAATCTCATATAAATGTGTCATGTGCTGGCTGCAAAAATTTAAGCAATAGCCTCTTGTAACCTTTGTTGCTCATCTATAACATGAACATAATGACCATGTTTATAGCTTTTCCTTTAGAAGATCCTTTTTGAAAGCTAGTTTTTGCTTTTGCATCTTATAAATATTTCCTCTGTGGTTTGGGCTTTCAAAACTATGATTGACTTTCCAGTTTCCATTATAAAATGTTTTTCTTTTCTACAGACTTGATTGTCATCCCTTGAAGCCACAAAAGATAACATTTTGAAATAAATGAAAAATGATAGAAGCATTGATTCACTGTACTGAGGATAAAACAAAGACCAGGCTATCACTGTGAGAAGCGTCTGGTGAGTGTGAGTGGCTGGGTCAGGTAGCACTGTTCCCTGTGCACTCCTGTTTTATCTTTCCCATCAATTAGTATAATAGGAAAATACTTGTAGTGTTCGATGATGTCTTCCACTGAATCAAACTTCTGGAACACAAAAATAAAAATAAAAATAAATAGTTAACGATTTTTTTTTTTTTTTTAAGATGACTGGTAAGGGGATCTCAACCCTTGGCTTGGTGTTGTCAGCACCACGCTCAGCCAGTGAGCAAACCGGCCATCCCTATATAGGATCCAAACCCGTGGCCTTGGTGTTATCAACACTGTACTCTCTCGAGTGAGCCACGGGCTGGCCCCAGATAGTTAATGATTTTTAAAAAATTTTTTGTGTGTCTGCAGGTTAAAGTACAGCTAAGATGCTTTGTTTTGCTTAGGCAAGAGGTGAACTCATTTAACAATTTTTTGTATTGTAAAGGAGTGTCAGAAAGAGTTTTTTTTTTTTCCTGAGGATGTGGCAAACAAGTTCTTAAAAGATGGGTGATAAGAATAAGATAACAAGGGAGAATAAAAGTGGTCCAGCAGACCAAAAGTGAACCCTACGACAGCTCTGTAAGTTTGCTACCCCCAGAGTTTTCCCCAGAATCAGATCACATTGGTCAAGCTCCACTCTGTTGTTGTCACAAATGGGTTAATTACACAGCTGTCAGTCCCGTGGGCTCTCTGTCTCCTCCCTGACCTTACCTCTAACTGTGACCAACCAAAGTGTAGAAGAGTCAGGCTTGAACTTAGTCAATCGGTTAGGTTAGAAGTGCCTGCAGTGAACTTTCCGTCCTGCAAACCTTCTTGTTTTAACAAATTGTAGTATACACAGAAAAAGCGGTGATGACCACAAGGTGGCTGGTAGTCCTTAGCCAATTTAGATTTCTTCCCTGAGCTTCCTGTGAAATAACAAGGTGACTACAGATCTCAATGTTTGTAGAGAAATACAGCTAAAATGCTATGGCAGTTTGATGGAGAGTAGGATTATTTCAGGTTTAGGGGAATCTGGAACGGCTTTGTCAAGGATATAGACTTGTACGTTATGGGTGCTTCTACATAAGTAGACAAGGAGGGTTTAGAGATATTAAAAGCAGAGGATGTACAGAACATGTACAAGGAAGGGTGTTTAGAAGACTGGAGCATATACAGTAATTCTGAGTAGAGGAGCCTGGGTGAGTTCCTGAAGGGGAATATTGAGAGATAACTAGGAAGAGCCTGCTCAACCTACCTCCCATGCCTTAGACAACTTTGATCCTCCTTACAAGCCTGTGATGTAGGCAGGGCAGGTGGAAATATCTTCTCTGAAGGGATAAAAGAATTTCAACGCAGAGAAGTGGACTGACTTGCTCAGAGGTACACAGCTAGAGGGCCAGGAGCAGGAGTGAAGCCACAGTTTTTTGGATGTGTGCTTGTTTTTTCCATTATACAACTTTGCCTATGGTGTGTGAGCTGTGGTGTTCAAAAGACCAGGTAGAGACGGCACAGCCTGAAGGAAGGCAGCCACTCTGGGAGCTACCTTGATTCTACTTGAATTTTGTCTATTCCCTCTGCCCAATGCATCCTAGGTATAGAAATGTTGGAAAGCCTCAGAGACATTCAACAGGTATGACATTGATGGGGTCTGTGTCCTCATGGAGCTTACATTCTGGGGGAGAGGGTGCAGACAGAAAATAACTTCCTATACAAATAATTTTATTTTGGAATAGATGATGTCGGAATTATCAATTCAGGGCTCAAGACTTCGCCAGATCACCCAGGGGTCTTCCCTTGAGGGACACATGTGGCTGCTAGGATGGAAGATTGTCTTTTATTAGAGGAGAACTAAGTTGAAATGGTGGACACCTGTAACCTCCATGGCCATGTGACAGTATCAAGAGCAAACAGGCACCATGCTGTGGGCAAAAATTGGGGGAAGGAAATGTAGGGTAACATTTCTTGACATTAACCAGTCCCTGGTTCTACTGCATTCCTGTCCTCTCTGATTACTTGAGTTAACAAATCTTCCCCTTCGCTCACCTGAGCTCATTTGAGTTGGGTTTTGTTTTTTCATACCAGGAGTCCTAATTAAATCTGTAAGTGACTCACCCCCTCTGAACCTTTTACTGAATTTGTTGCAGAGTTTTCAATGAGATAACCTATGTGTCAGCCTGTCTTAGTTTGTTTGGGCTGCCATAGGAAAATGCTATAAACTTGGTAGCTTATAAACAACAGAAATTTATTTTTCACAGTTCTGGAGGCTGGAAGGTCCAAGATCAAGGTGCCAACAGGTTCAGTGTCTGTGGAGGAACTGCTTCCTGGTTCATAGATGGCACTTTATCACTGAGTCCTCACATGGTGGAAAGGGCAAGGGCCTCTCTGAGTCTCTTTATAAGGGCACTAATCCCATTTGTGATGGCCCCACCCTCATGACCTCATCAGCTCCAAAGGCCCTACTTTCTAATACCATCACCTTGGGGTAGCATTTCAACATATGAATTTTTGGGGGACAGAAACATTTAGACTATAGCATGGTTTCTAAGAGGTTTACAATAAATGAGTTGCTACCTGATGCTAAGGTAAGGTAGTTTCCAATTGTCCAGTGGGGATCATAACTGTTGTACTACAGTAGGGGAGTCACAAAAAAAGGGCCTGTGGAGCCTCAGTGCCTGAGTCCAAGGCCCACGTCTTCCCTCCCAGCTTCTAGCTGTGTGACCTGGGGCAGGTTTCTTATCCTCTCTGTCTCAGTTCCTCTATCTGTGAACATGGCCAGGGACCACCTCTGAGGTTCACTGTGAGGATTATTCAAGCTGGTGCATATATAGCATTTAGAAGAAAGCCTGGTGCATGGCAAGTGCTCAGTAAATGCCAGGCATTGCTATGACTCCTTCTTTCTAGGTTTGCCAAGAACATCATGAAAAAGCAATGAAACCACCAGGAAACTTTATTGACTATTATCGCAAGCCTTTTAGGAAGAAAGGACGTTTCTGCATTTCATTTCCGGTCATGAACTAGGGATAGCATTTTCTTCCTCTTTCTTTGCACTTGGCAGAACAAAAAGTGATTAATAAAGAAACTTTTCATGTAGAACTCTTCTACAAAATTGGTTAAACCACATTGTTAAAAGGCAGTCTTCTTTCCTGGTATTAATTTTCAGAGGGAAAATATTTGCTTCATATCCTTATTCTTGTTTTCTTTAGGATTGTCCCCAAACAATAAATTCAGTATTAATTGTCTTATCAATCTACTACATGGATGACATTTTATATAAAATTGTAATTTTAACAGGCAGTGGGAAGTAAGGCAGGTATAGTTAATTATGATGTCATTTCTTATTTTTGGCTTTGGATGATGAGCCCACAAATGAAATATTGCCCTAAAGAGATTTTAAGAAAATATTATAATTAAGCTCTTACTATTCTATTAAGTTATTTTTTCAGGTGTACAGCAAATATAAGCCTAATATTAGATCTTAAAATCCATGTAAACCTTTTATGTTCATCCTATATACAAACTATAGGCAATGTTTCCTTACCAAAGTTAATACAGCTGTGTGGGTACACAGAAAGATGGGAGTGAGAGAAAGGGAAAAAAGATAGAGAGAGATGCCAAGACAGAGGGAGGAGAAAGAAGCAGACAGGGGACGTGAAGAATAAACCCATGGGTTGTTTGTCTCTGTCTCCTAGTCTTTAAAGTTTAATTAATCAAGTAAAAGTCTATCATAATTTTCAGAAACCTGTATACATTTTTAGAACAAGGAATGTTGTGGTAATCAAAATTGCTCCCTTCTCTGAGCTTTTACAGAGATGTTAGCAAAAATGACAGATAAAACTTAGATGGAGGGCTGATGTTAGGTAGCAGGTGGAGCTGTGTAGGTTGTAAAGGCAGGTGCCTGCCTGGCTGGCTGGGGCCGGTGTCCGACCATTCTCGCTCTTGCTTAGGTGCATGCACAGATGGGCACAGATTAACAGGGTATTTCACTGGGTGGCAGTGACTCCACCTGACTCCGTTCTGCATTCCCATAAGGAGCACTGAGTCTAGTGTAGTGTAGCCATAAAATGAATGACTGTCCAATAAATGAGTAAATGAGCAAAGGGGGCTGAATGCTGCCACCTCCCCCTACATGCCCCACCCCCAATACTTCCATGCTGTAATCCAAGAATCTGTGACTATTACCATACATGTTAAAAGAGTCAATATCATGCTACATCGCAAAGCATGGGATTAATTTAAGGATCATGACAGGCAGAGCTTATCCTAGGTTATCCTGGTTGGCCCCAGAAGCAATTGTGTGTGTCCTTATAAGACAGAAGTGTGAGAGATTATAATCAGAGGAGAAGGGGAGGCCATGGGACCACAGAGGCAGAATCTAGAGTGATGTGACCATAAGCTAAGGAAGCCAACGGTTGCCGACAGCCACCAGAAACTGAGAGAGGCGAGAGAGGCCCGGGAGCTGCCATGACCCCCACGTGCCCCAAGATGCCAGTGCATGCTGGAGCAGGTAGGTGCCGACACGGGACCACCCCAGCCCAGGCAAGTGCACGCTGCCAGAGAGGCCCCTGCAGAGAGGCCTGGGAGCTGCCACGATCACCACACATCCTGAGATGCCCATGCGTGAAAGCAGGTAGGTGCCACTTCTGGACTCCCATCTCAGTCCAGTCCCCATGGCCCAGAGAGGCCTGATCCTCCCACCCACAGGCACTGAGGCAGCTGTACTAAATTGGCAGTCCCAGCAGGATCCTAGCCAAACCATAGGGTTGAATGAATGGACCATGAAATCCCCTGCCACAATGACTAAATGCCAAAGGAAAGATACCAGAAATATGAAAAACCAAGGAAGTACACCACCAAATGGTAATAATAACTCTCAAGCCCTAGATCCCATAGAGCAAGAAGCTCTTGGAATGACTGACAAGGAATTTCGAGTGATAATTCTAAGGAAAGTAAATGAGATACAAGAAAACTCAGTTAAATAACATGATGAAATGAGGAAAAGTATACAGGACCTGAAAGAAGAAATGTACAAGGAAATCAATGCCCTGAAAAAGAATGTAGCAGAGCTTGTGGAGCTGAAGATTCATTCAATGAAATAAAAAACACAACTGAGAGTCTAACCAGCAGGCTTGAAGAAG